TTTCTTCTTTTAGTTAATATTGCCATGTTTCTCTTACCGCGTTCGCTATCAGTTAACTGACTGTTGGGGGCAAAATAAATAAATAAAATAAATGTGGGCTGCAGATATTGATGACCTACATCAAATGAATTGTTTTCCTTTTGTTCTTCATATAGCTGTACGTCTACGTCAGTATTGGACGAAAGCCGTTCTTCTTCAGTGTTGGTTGACACCTAGAGTAGAACGTTCACTAAAATTACCAGCTCAAACAGAAAATAATATTAAAACTCATCAGAACGTCAAAAGACAGTACCAAACCATCCATGCTTTTCAGCTTCTCCTGCTCTTTTTGGGATGCTAAAATGATAACAACGTGAAAAAGTGCATCCAATCAGAGAAAAATGGCAGACGATTAAACCTTGAAGTTGATCCTCATGAGAGGATCTCTGTGCTCGCAACCCATCGATCATTAGCAGGAGGTTGCTTCTCTGGAAATTTTACAGCGATAGGGCTTTACCCAAATGTATAAGGCAGCGTTCAGGCATCGCGGTGATGCGACGACGCTAACGTGCTACAATTCCGACAGCGCTCTCGTGCCACAGACGCGAACGCAGTGACAGACAGGAACCGATTGGCCGCTAGTGTTGTGACAGTAAACGGGAATGATAGGAGGGCGCGCGTTGCCTAATCACGCTGTCTGGTATCGATGAGCGCTGGCCACTGATGTTACGCCATACTATCCAGGGCACATCGTTGGTTGGGGAATGCCCAACAGGGGGTCGTATTTGGCCCCCAGGAGAGGGAGGGGGTCGTAATGAGTGCGGTAGCCAGTAATGAGCAGCGCAAAGGCGTCAGTGTGCTGAGTTCTGTACAGCGAAACTTGCTTTGTAGAGAACTCGGATATGTAAAAAGTAGTACAAAACTTTCATTCATCGAACTAATCCGAAAAAACGGAAATATTAATGAGTTGATGAGTTCATCTCGTAAGTGACTAAACAGTACAACTCATACTCTGGTTCGCCGCGGATGACGGGAGTATCCGCGATCGCGCTTGGCGCTGAGCCGACCTGTTTATTTTCGACAAACGACAGGAGTACCATATCGTTCGTATCAGACGTTTTCCAGCACTTGGTCTCCTTTATCGGAATCAGCAATAGGCGGAGCACGAATCTGGCGGCGTCGACAGGGACACGCTCCATCATACGCAACGGAAAACACTATAAACAAGTGCATAGGTTCGTCATGGACCACCCTGAATCCTATAGACACATTTGCTCGCGTGGACATACATTACGCACTGGCGCTAAAAAAACCAGATCCCGCTCCTGTTCCACCAAAGGATACGTTCTATGTACATGTATTTCTGATTATTCGAACACGCTCACTAGAAACTGCACACAGAAGACGGACCTTCGAACAGTTCGGAATGTTCCTAAAAAAATCCCCAACGCAGTTATCTCATGAATTCCGGAAGCTTCAGGAAGTGTCAAGCAGTTTTTGGAAAGAGAAAATCTTCTAGAATTCGACACTGGTTTCAGATTCCCAAACTTGAGGTTCAAGTGAAATCTCTTAGTTCAAACCTGTAAAATTCGCCCTGCGAAAGTGCACTCCCCAAAAAGTCCTCACTGGCGACCTTCATAAACATATCACTATGTGTTGGAAAGCTCTAATCTCTCTCTATACGACTGCGTTCTTTCTTTTCCCACAGGTCCGCTATTGAGGAAGTTATGGTCCTCTAAAGACACCCTACTTTCTTGAAAGTCCGCGCTCTAATCAAACCATCTGCAACCACCTTGCAGATGTGAGTCCTGCACAGAATCGCTTCCAATCGATTCCTCACCATTTTCCAGCTGCTCGGCTGGTATGGCTCCATTTCTTTTCTTTTTTCTGTTATGCTGTCTGTTTTTTTTGTTATGTTATGCTATTTCTGTTTTATATTTCTGCTTTCGGTTACGTCATGTTATGCTACATCGTTTAGGCCGCGTTCGTAGCTTGCGACGGTGAAGAAATGCAGAAATGCGGAAAATGCAGAAATGGCGCATTGCTGAAAAATTGTGAATTGTAATGCTTTTCGTCATCTCTGCATCCCACACTTCTGCATTTCCCGCATTTCTGCATTTCTTCAAATTGATGTGTATATTACGCCTTCCATCATTTCCTCGGATTCCGCATTCCTCATGGCTTTGTAGGGTGGGGGAGGGGGGATCAGCACATTTGCTATTTCACATCCTGGTATTCATTGCGTCACGAAAGTTGACAGGTATTCCTCCATACTTTGGGTGGAATCACTTTATGCCTTTACAACCTAGAGCCGAAATATAGCTCTAGTGCCCAGCTCGAGCTCGAAAAGAAAAACAAACAGTAAGGAAAAAATCGAAATCCCCAACTAATGCTGTGCCCTGATACTATCTCCAAACACAAACGGCCACCGATCGATCCCTGTCTACCGCTGCGTTCGCTAAATGCGTCCTTGCACAGAAGGAGCGTCAATGCGCATAGGTTGCGTTCATACCTTTGCTTCAGCATCTACCACCGTACACCAGCGCGCTATGGACTAGGGAAGTATAGGTATCAAATCCAGTGGACGCCAGCGTCCAGCAGCATTTCGCGGGGGCTTTCGAACTGAGCAAGATGCCTGTTTAATTCAAGCAATACTTCGCGAAAACGCAGCTGTACGTTAGGGACGCTGCCGTTCGCTGGATCGATACCTACACTTCCCTAGTACCTCGAAACGCTGGTAGACGCTGGCGTTCGCTACAACGACATTTACACCTTCGTAGTCGCTGGTGGACACTGACGAGACAGACAAGACAGCCTTAAATTTGTTACAGCGTTTCAACGCCCTTATAGCGCGTATCGCGAAGCCCAACGCTGCTTGAATTGTGCCTCACCTCATCGTTCAAAGAAAAAATTTCCATTTCAAGTCGATCAATTTTCGATTCCATTAACGATACCCTGCAACAAGTATATAGGGTAAACGGGAAGCTGCATGGCTTTAATGAAGAAGAGACAGAATCCAGGTGCAACCTACGTCTTATGGAATTTCTCTCGTTCCTCTATCCATTGCTGGGCTTCTATCCTTCGCATTTCGGAAATTTCTTTTATTTTCGCTTCCTTTTCGCTCACAGTTTGCGACAGTCTGTTATTGTCTGTTTTCAAGCGATGAACCTCACGTTGTTCCAGTATAGCGTATTGTTCGATATTCTATAAAGACGCCGAAGTATTCGAGCAATAACTTTCAGGGGAAATTCCCGCTTAAAAGACAATTATCCGCGATCACGTTATTGCGGGCAATGTACTCTGTATGCACCAGTATTCCATAAGTTAGCTCTCTCGTTAGGAAAAAGAAGCAGAAAATCTTCGGGAACACCGAAACCCAAACTACCTTTAGCAGTTGGGGCGCGGGTGGCCTGGACCGAGTGTGCGGGCGTGGGCTGCCAGAATTTCGATGCGGCTAGCCGCAATTGCGTCCCCACTTTCGAAATATGGATCCTTTTCGACGTAAGGCAGCGATTCATACTTGTTAGCGCTACAAGCGTAGCGCTACAGCGTATGCGCCTTACAGCGCCGCCTTCGCCAAACGTACTGGCAATTTCTCAACGATGGGATGATTAGAGTTGCTTACAGTAGCAAAACTTGGAAAGGTTGCTGGAGTTTCTTGAGAAATTGACTAAGAAAAAAAAAGAAGAAAAATTGAAACATACCCCACTTTGACAACAAATCTTCCCTACCATTGGAAAAGCAAGCACTACATCCCATAAGCAAAAAAATCTAATGGTTCCGCACTTTCACACATGTTTACAAGCCTGACCGAAGTAAGACCTTTAGCTGAGCTATGAGCCAACTTTGGCAAAATGCCAGTGGGACCGCGGGCTTAAAGGGACGCGCGGGCTATAAAGGGACGGATGCAGTTCGGGACCAGACGCCTCGTCCACCTACCGTCTCCGTGAGCCTAGCGAGCCTTGTCGAAATTGCGATAACTTCCTCATCGCGCGCCATTGATGGGTAAAAGCGGGATCATCTTCATCAAGGCACAGAGGGTTCCAGGAGGCGCGAAGTCATTTTGAAGGCCTCTCGAGCGCGGATACTGTCTTTAATGGCCCAAAACAACTGTAACTTTGAAACATGGAAGGCAAGACTCCGTCCAGCGCGTCAGCACCTTCGCTCTCATCGAAAAGAACAGACGTGAATGCCCGAGATTCCCTGCATGACTTATTGTTTCTTTGTGGCGTAAACATCGCCATTCGGCGTTCTTTCTTCAGCTGAGCAGGTGTTTTGCATCCATTGTCAATTCCTGGGCTCTAAACGAGTCCGCACATTCAGAAGACCGCCTCAGTGTGCGAGTCTGAAGAATTCAAATTCCATCGTGAAAACATCTTAGTTCAGCTCAACAGTGTCTTTCGAAGGTCCCACTGAAGCTCGGATGGGTTTGATGACCTACACTGAATGAATACGCACTAGCGAGCTTACGCGATTCGGACAGGGGGAGCTGTAGCGTGACAAGGTCTGTTGCGCGAAGCTAGGTCCCGGTTCCGGTCATCTACGCTGCGCTAAGCCTTAGTTTTGGTCATGAAAAAGGAACATAGACACCGTGCCAGCGATCAAAAAGCGACAGTATAAATATCCGCGTTGCTGGCACATTAAATCACCAATAAAATTCAGGACATCCGAGATAGGTACCGCGCGCAAGGGTATTGAGCGCCTCGCTAGCTGACTTGACAGCATATCCACGTCGAGGTACGTGACATTTTGAACTTCTGTGCATGGTCCTGTTACGAAATCCTGTGACGCAGACGGATAGAGGGCAGAGGTTGCCAAAGCAAAAACGTGAACGAAACGTGCAAAAAAATCTAAACGTGCAAAAAACGTATGGCGAGCCAGGAAACGGGATTTTTCAAGGGGAGGGAATTCCGGGGTGGGTGAGCTACTTATAACTGCTGAAAAGATGGAATGTGCAAAGTCACAATGGTCATAGAGTGCCATGCGGACGAGAGAGAGTGTGAAGAAAGGAGAAGATCTATGCGTTTAAAGGGATTGAGTTCAAGTTGTCCGTAGACCCCAAGGATGTTGTCCGTAGCCCCACGTCGAATCACTTAGGTCCTGGTGCAGGCGTCACGTGATACTAAATGCGAAAGCTCTCGTCACCAGCAAGGGCGGCAAGTCGGTTGGGCAGGATACCCCCAATTACTTGCGATGTTTGGCCAGCTTAAGTGATGAGCCCTCTCCGTACGGGAGGACCTTTCAACAGAAATCGCTCCGGGGGCAGCTCGCGCCGACGCGGCGCGTTGCGCGGCGCGAATGACTAAGCAGCTCAGCTCTGCATTTCCTAGACCGATTAGTTTGCGACTGGAAGGCTAAATGGAACCTTACTACAGGCTACATGCGCAACATTTCCCAGGTCTCATTATGATATCTAGTGATGTTTTACAGCAAAACAAGAACAGTTTTCNCGGTTCCNTAAAACGCAAACTTCAGGAAATAAACAGGTACAAAAGAACTTAGATAAGTGATTCTCCTTCGAATATGTGTTTCACATGATTTGCGGAGTCGCCTCCGCCAATATAATAGACAGATGGCCAAGTATTTTCTGTGAGCTGCTGTAAAAGATGAAAAACCAGTGCATATGTCAAAGACCCCAATTTATTCCTTGCTCTTTAACTTTTTCACACCTCAACTGAAAAGTTAACCGTAACTGAACACAAGTCTCGATTCTGGGTGATATCACTGCTAGAAGCACGCTTTGCCTTCTCGCTGCAAGTATGTCGCAGGCCACGCCCACCAGCTGCCCGGACGATTCTGTTGCTACACACCCCCGGATTACCCCGTCCCCCTTCACTGCGAAAACAGCGACTGCAACTTTTTTCAAGCGGGGATGATAAATTGAGACACAGTCCTACAGTATAAACCAGTGGAAGCCCGTACTGGCTCGCATCGGGTTACAATTTATTACCAAGGAGCGACTCTACTACTAAAAACTGAGGCGCTTGAGTCACTCGAGAAACCCATCACCAAATCAAGAAACTGGCCGTATTCGAATTGATGGTTCGGAGAGGGGAACCAGCTAGAGACCTGTCGAAGTCCTCAAGAACATTAATGTACTTTACATTGAGAGCTTTGACGTTTCAACCATTTTTAGATTTGTAAACGTTTTGAATTCCACAGCATCAAAGAAACTTACTCTTAATGAATCTCTCTCGAGCTGAACTCTTGTAAGTTCTTCGAATGTTTTAACTGAATCAATTCTTTTCGACATTTGCAACGCTTCACGCACAATGTCGTCTTGTGACTGCAAAAAACCTTTTTTAGCGTTCAGGAAATTGAAAAAACTTCCATACCTTCACATCTCCATCTCCAGAAGGCTTCCTCGTAAGCTGAGCGGCAAACAAATCCCGCTGCAACAGAGCTTCACTGAGTTGCTTTTCACGACTGATGGCGTTCTCTTTAAAGCGCTCCAGCTCTTCCTCAGCTCTAACCTTTGCAGCCATCTCTGGGAATATCCAAGTGAAATGATAAGTTCCAGAAATTTGCATCGAATATAAATTGTATGTATCGACATAAGCATTGACAGCTATCACAACTAAAGTGAGATACCTGAACGAATTTTCTCCTCCTTTGAGTCCAGCTCTGCACGCAACCGAGAAATCTCACTTTTGTAGGCCATGGCGGTGTCCCCAATATGATCTTCATTAGCATGAACACGATTTTCAATCTTGCGACAAGCAGCTGCGAACCGTAGCGTAGAAAGCGTCTCATAGTAATACCTGAAGCATATAAAATGTCCTTCAAGAGCTGAGAGCATCCCTTACCCTTCATTATTTCATTCTTTGAAAAGTTATCCATATTTTGACCGAACTTTTCCCCTGGCGCACATACGACCCGACTTTTGTTCCCTTCCCCCAGAATTTGGTCATTTGAAGACAAACCCCGCGAGTAGGTACTGATAATGACATTCAGCTACGAACCTATAGTCGCTCAGTGACTCTCCTGGAAAGAAAAAAAAGCAAAAAAAAATCATGGAGAACACTCTTTGTAGAATCTTAATCCTCGCTGGACGTTCTCCGGACTTGCTCGTTTTGTTCCAGCAAAGCGATATCCCCCCGCTAGTGGTCAGATAAACATTTCTTTGCCTCGATGTTTATACCGTCAAAGAACCAAAAAAAGGAAAGGAAAATCGTGGTGTAAAACTGAACTCGACAGAAAACAGCCTTCGAATTTGGTGCGCGGGACCACTACAGAGCGGTCACCACTGTCATTTATGGGAACCGCACCGGCTTCCTTAATTACGTGAAAGTGAGACAGTCTTGGACTGCGTCTATACTTTGCAGCAGCGTAGTGTAGCGCTTCCAGCGTACGCAAGCCGCAGCGTCGGGGCAAGAATAGATATCGATTTAGCGTTCCCAGCGTAACGCTAGCGCACGCTAGCGTAGCGAGGGCACGGGAATCATAGCTATCAATCTGGCGCTCGCAGCGTTTCATCTAGCGGTTCGGCTAGCGCTATGCAGCACGGGGCAGAGAGTATTAAAGAGTAGGAGAGCACAAAATACTCTCCTGCTCTCCTACGCTAGCGTAACGCTAGCGGCGCTAGGAACGCTAGATCGACATATATCCTTTTCCCGACACCGCCGCTGGCTCACGCTGGAAGCGCTACGCTACGCTGCCGCAAAGTATTATATAAACGTAGCCTTGGAGTTGAGGACCATACTACTTATTCAAGGAATGACACCTACATAGCTGTCTCTAAATACGAACCATCTTTGCCTGAGACCAGAACCTCTAGTGTTGGCGCCAGAAAAAAAAAACGGCAACACGGAGTGACTCTGCCGCCGACGCCCGAAACAACTATTTTGCTGTATTTATGCTCAAGAGAAAAAAACCAAGTCTGGGTACAGATTTTCAGCCGATGAGGTGTTCCAGCACTGGCGACCAGTGTCAAAACACCTAGAACAAGAACAAAGAACACTTTTAGGGAGGGTACATGGTGCCGAGCGAACCCAGTACTACATCACTGTTAAGGTGATAGAACTTCCGAGAGAAATATACTCTAGTTCGCAGCCGATGAAGCGGCGCGTCAGGCAGAATGAGTGTGTCACGGCGCCAGAGCCACTCAATGTCAGTTGTTGAATTGGATATGCGACATTAGTTGGTAGAAAACTGCTGATGCGACCGATACGAAGAACAGAATTTGGATGGCGTTCGACAGATGTCACAGAAAGGGTGATGAGAAACAATATGCAGCTCTCAAGCGTGTTCATACTTCGCGATCAAATCGTTTTAGTCGCGCGATTGCTCGAGCGTCTGAATCGAGAAGTACTAAAGTGCACGCACCCAGGTGAGGAATCCAAGATGGATGAATAGGGGAGCGCAAAGTAAAAGGAATCGGAAAAGCTCCTAAACGTGTACTGGATATCCCATCATCTTTATCAGTTTGGTAAGACGACGCTTCAACAATGACCTGAGGTTGTTGATACCGCATAATTATGTAGGAATTTCGAAAATAGATGACTTACTCCTTGTCAGGATGAAGGTTGACGATCACAGCTGTCCTACTGTTTCCTCCGAGTGAATCACGTAGAAAAAGAGTTAATTTGGATTCACGATATGACGCGACCTGATTTGCTGATGACAGCATTCGAATTACGCGACTTAATACGCTGAGTGACTGAAAGCAGCATTACTACCAGACAATCTAACTGCGAGTTCACGACAAACTGGCTCTCACCTTGTTAATATTCACGGCCTCTTTGAATCGGTTTCCTACAGTTGGGGCTTGTGACTGCCTTTCTGACCCAGCAAGGTCGACCATATTCAGCGTAGCACTCTTCTTGTTAACAATAGTATTGATTAACTCTTCCGTTCTCACCTGAAACAGAGTGAGCGTGTATAGTCTAGTTCACTGCGGACGAGGGGGCGTCAGCGCGACGAGTGGCGCGTTGCCAAGCCATTCTCCACAAGCTTTTGAAGCGAACATGTGACAAAACTGTAAGGTATCGTTCGCATCACTCGTTTTCAAGCAATTATTGTCGTTCATCCGCTTCAACATATGGTGGAGAACGGGTCTGGAGTCGTGGCAGGGTGACGGATAATTGGTACGACCAGCCTAATTTAGAGGTAGCTGGCACCCGGCAGAGAGGCAACTTTAATGAGGTACGAAAACTTGGTGCCTAGCTGCGAAGTGACCTCATTAACGAGCGAGGGCTGACAGGTCATCTTGTTATCCACATGTTGACATAATAAGTGATAGATGATCAATAAAATAACGAGAGAGGTCAATGAAATATGTATAAGGATAATCTTACCTACACAACTAGATAACGAACCGGTCCCAATTAACTATTGCGCTCTTGATACACTATTGAGGAAACTCTTGCTGAAATTGGGCTACGGCTTCACTCGATGCCCTGTTCACGAGCACGGCACTCACATCTGACCATGACGCAACTCATCTGAGCTGATTTGGTGCAGGAGATTTTCTAGCACTATTGAACTATTCCTACCCCAAAAACTCAAAAAATTTTTCGCTGAAACGTTGCCTGTAGATGTAGTTCGATGCGCTGATCACAAATATACCATCCGTTTCGAGTGCTGGCGTCATTTGGCGCCATTATGCGCCAATTTGGTGCCCACCACTTTTTTCATCAAAGTTGATGAAAACTTGCATATGGGGGTTAATTGAGGTCCTGATTACGAATATCACACTGGTTTCAAGCGCTGGCGCCATTTGGCGCCATAATGCACCAATATGGTGCCAAATTGGCGCGTAATGGCGCCGAATGGTGCCAACGCCAAAAATAAATGTTGGATTCGTTATCAGGACCGCAATTAACCCCCATATGCAAGTTTTCATGAACTTTGGTAAAAAAAAGTGGTGGGCGCCAAATTGGCGCATAATGGCGCCAAATGACGCCCGCGTTCAAAACGAATGTGATATTCGTGATCAGGGTTCTGACATTTATAAACGGCGCCGAAGCTATTTGTTGCCAACATGATTCTGAATACCTTCGGAATAGGTAAGACTTCTTCCACCTTGAATTTTGAACAACACATCTCGATGCATGGTTGACAAACTTCTCAACTGTGTATATTCAACATTACAGTTAGAAAAGAGCTCAGCAGAAGAGGAAGAAAGAGAAAGAAAAGAGCTCGGCTCAAAACGGCTTCTCTTCAGCAAACTTTTCACTCACTTTTTGGCATTCCTAAAAATGCGGAGCAAAAAGTGAACCGAGTTTGTGATTCCTTTATGGACCCCTACGTCGTGCAGAAATTATTTTAAATGCGCGCCACGACCTCAATAACCTCAATTGTGAGCCCTCTCTCCTTAATGAGGTCACTTCGCAGCTAGGCACCAAGTTTTCGCACCTCATTAAAGCTTCTCGCGGCCAGGTGCCAGCTACCTCTAAATTAGGCTGGTCGTACCAATTATGGCTAACCCGTCGTGGCACACTCATACTGCCTCACACGCCCCTTCATCCGCGCGAACTAGAGTATAAATAAGGAAAAACTCACGTCTATGCTGAACATAGCATGCGATCGAGACGACTCCCGGTTCATCGCCGTTTCCCCAGTTCTTCTTGTGACCCATCCTTTTTTCAAGATCTAAATTTCAAGAGCAATGTCAAAATGAACACCACAGCGTGAAACTGCTATTTTTACCACTTGGTAAGGACACCTCAATTCCCTGACTTCCCTGTTATATTCTTCTACAGCAGCAAGTAGAGACTGGTTATTCAAGATCCCCGCTTTCTGTTCGTGCACCAGTTACATCACTAACCAAAAACTAGGTACTGCTCGGCTTGAGGGGACATTTTGCACTTTCGCTAGTCTCTCTTCGACAGTTCATGTCAACAAATACTTGACTTGTAAAATCCTGTAAATCTGCGGTACAAGTAAGTGACCTGAACTAGCTTCGCTAAGAAAAACTAGTTCCCCCAACCCTCACCCCTCAATCTCCCAGCCGAACAGCGCCTCGACATGCCAGATCTACACAGAACGTTTCACAAACATTTATTAAGCTTTGAAGCTCCTGGACTACCTGTTCATTTCCGTAAGCTTTGTAGAATAATGGTGGCGTTCGTGCAGGATCCCCGAAACGTCGCAGTATGCACTTTGTTAAAAAATGCCCACTAGGCAAGGGTGAGAAGCTTCGTCTCAGCTAGGAACACAGATGGACCTCTACTAAGTTGAGTAGGCGGGGGAGTGAGAGGTAAGGGAAGGGGGAGAGTACTGCAGCGCCGAAGCACTTCTCTGTCCAAGGCTAAGGCTCAGCGCAGTTAAGACGAGCAAATCGAAGTGTCATAATGTGTCACGCCGTGCGAAGAATCGTGACGTCGGTCAGTACGACCCCCTATACCGCATTTCATCCGGTACCATCCCCTCTCCACTCCAACTACCATCTTCTTGACCTTTCCTAACTTCCTACCGCTTCTCCTAGTTCAGAAAAGAGTTTCATTCTGACCCCATCCCCCCAGTAAAAAAAATTGGGTCAGCGGAGAAAGGCAATCAGCATCAATCGCTACAATAGCAAAAAAGAATTGTATGATTTTTGGCCGCAACTGTGGGTGGGGACAGAATATGAAGAACGTAAAAAAACCCAGAAATCAGCAACCCGTTAATTTTCTCTCGCGGTCGAAAATTGTTTTTCGAAGGCGAATACAGCCCCTGCTCAGTGACCAGATACAATCCCCTTACAGGATTTCCCCAACGATATTGTACTCTGCTCGTAGGCGCGATGCCCCATGCTTTTTTTTTCTCCCGAACTATTTTAGGCCTTGTACAACAACTCTCACTATAAATCAGGTGATGAAAATGAATGCCTACTGCCCATTACATACCCTCATCAGATCGATGCTTGACTGAACAAAATGTTCTGACACGCCAAGAAGTTGAACTACCTGAAAGGAAGCTATGGAATGAAAGACAAACAGTGCGGTAATAAACTCGATTAACATTTGAATCGCTACGAATATTGAGCTTTGCTGCGGATCGCCAAGAAGATCGTAGAATTCCTCATTGTACAGCTCAACGAAACGGCATACCACTTCGTATTTTAAAGTTCTCTCCTTTCTGAAAATCATTTTCTCAAGAAACACATACTACAAAAGCATAAGCGCTCTACCTCAGCTGTCATGGTGCATAACTTTGTGAAGAGCGCGTCACAGGCTCGCGGGATAAGTCCGCGATGTTCAGCATTTACAATAAAATTGTCGACTTGGGGAGGTCCGAACATTGTATACAGTTTTTCCTGAGCCGGTTTGGCCTAAAGTATGACAACTTTGCGTAGCGTGCTAGGGATATGATTTTGGAATTGTATACTCACCATATGCGAAAATGGTTCCATTGAATCCGTTTTACACATCCGTCTACGATATGGTTGGCAACTTCTCGATATACTTGCTCCTAAGAATGGGTTCAGATGAGTGCGATGATGTGTTAGCTTTGTTGTTTGCATCCACATCTGCGCCGGCGTTTTGAACGTACTTCAGCATTTTGAGCACTTTGAACGACTGGGAAAGTATACGTATCGACGAGCGTTTTGAAGACAGCCCCTCATGTAGTTCATGGTCGTCCTTCCTTGTGCAAGTAGTACAGCCCCCGAGCTAGAGACTGTTCCACTCTCTCGACTCCTTAGCGAGCGAGAAGCGAGCTGCAGCCGCTCAAAGTTCTAGTTCTAACGCCGCGCCCAGCTGGACCGCCCATTTGCCAACTGCCCCCTGACGGCGAGCCGCTCAGTTGTTTTTTTGTCGGGACGGGCGGGCATTAATTGGGACTGCAGGTACTTTTTGCTGACCGCGCTTGTGCCCATAAATAATTCTGCTCTCCTTCATCACATTTTAATCAACTGGGAGCACAGACAGTCAACTGCAACCCGTCTCGTAAGGTGAAACGCGTAAAAATCAGGAATGATGCAATTACTGTGGTGCAAAAGCTCGACATGCACGAAAAGCCGCACACTGCGGCTAATGCCGTTTGGCCCTCCAGCAACTTCGGCACCGAGCTCATTTTTAAATTACCTAAGTCGCCAAACCCGCTGAAAATATGTACACAAGGGGTTATTTACCATCCTGATTACAATTATGACACTCATTCTTGGCGCTGGCGCAAGGGATGACACTACGATTACCTCTTGGGCTCAGCCTTAGCGGAGCGCAGGTAATCGTAGGTGTCATCCATTAGCGCCAGCGGCAAGAGTGAATGTCATATTCGTAACCAGGATGTTAATCTACCCCTACATACAAGTTTTTGGCGGATTTGGTAACTTAGGCAATTTAAAAATGAGCTCGGTGCCGAAGTTGCTGGAGTCCAAACGGCATTAGCCGCACACTGCACGTAACCCGAATTGGGACGCCAGGTTTTTCAATTTTTCCATTTTCAAGTGTTTTTCATCCGTGTCTCTGTTGTTTTTCATATTCTTTTCTTTGAATTGGATGTTGTCCACTACTGGGAAACGGGTGTGTGGTGTTCTTAAAAGATCTCACTTCACACTATCATGCCTCTCGGGAGACTCGCTTGCGGTGTTGCCTGACTTAATTGCCCTCTCGCTAACTCCTGACCTCTCCTCTACAGACCGACTGAGCCAAACTGAACATGGAATGTAGTAGGAAAAAAAATAAAAAAACGTTGGAAATGTCGGAAAAAAAAGATGTTTTCATAAAATTCAAAATGTCAAGAACACATTCAACCACTCAGGGCAACCGAAATGCAAACATACACAACATGAAATCACCGCAATTCGAATGGGAGAAAGGGCACGTATTGAACGAAAATTTGTATTGTTTTCACCATGGAAGGTATCTCAAATGATTTGAACTTCTAAGCTCTGTGATTGCTTGAAGGTTGAATGCGTTCTGCGCCAGAAACTCGCTTTAATTGGACTCTATTGATGCCCATCTATATGCCTCATTAGGTACCTCGGGAACAGTATAGTACTATGCATGTGCCGTTTCCCTCGTTTTATGCTTTAGCTGGAAGCACACACCTCGACGGCACACATTTCGATGTGATGAACTTCGGCTCAACTCCGCTTCCTGCTCTTAATGCGCCGGCTTCAGTGTCACTTTCAGCACACAACTCGCTCATTTTATTGCACATACCTCCACTCCAGGTTCCCAGCAATCTTTAGATTCCCTTTTAGCACCAGCAGAAACACAACCCCGGGTTATATGGACGAACGACAGTTAAGTAAATATGGAAAACGAGACGGAATAATTTACAGGATTGTAGGTACCAGCCACTCGTTCACTTTTTATTACATGTATGGGACGAAACACTACGAGTTTGCTACTACACTACCATCTAAGCCTAATTTAACTTGAATGTAATATAATTTTCAATTTTTCGTGTTTCGTTTTAATTCATTTCAGCATGCTTTTCATCTCTGATTGTTTCATGTGATTGAAATTTTTTAAATTGCAGCCCTTATTCCTATTAAATTTGCTAAAAAATCAGCTGTAAATAATCAGTCACCATGATGTAATCGTTAAGTAAAGGTCAGGAGTTTGAGAGAGTAATTAAGTCAAGCAACACCGCAGGCCAGTCTACCCGAGAGGCATGATAGGTGTGAGGTGAGATCTTTTAAGAAAGTCCTGCACCCCTGGGAAACGCCATAAAGGGAATCGTGAGCCAGGGGTTGCCCACGGACTGCAGGGCGGTGTAACTGTAAGGGAGCAGCTTTGTTTATGGTGTTCCTGAGGGCTCTTGTTGCTTTTTCCTTCTCTGAGGAACTGCTTATCAGCTACTGTTTCATAATTGATCAGCAGCTATCCTTGACATTTTTATCGCGGGAGCTATCTTTGAGCAACTAGGAAAGAATAGACATTGATCCGAAGTTTGCTGAGACTCCCGCGAAAAACTCAAAAGGTTGCCGCACGCTAGACCGATCTATACTTTCACAGTGGCTCAAGACGCTCAAAGGGCTGACGCAAGTTAACAACGCATTCTGGAATGGGCCACATGTAAAGGCGAGCCACTACGCCGACTTTGATCGTCTGCACTCCTATTCTCATCGTGGTAGTGATCCCTTTCTTCTAAGATTGAATCTCAATCTCAGATTTGAATGACGGGTGGGCCGCTCCCTAAAGCCACCATGTGGCCCCTCCAACTACTACAGCGACAATGAAGTTATCTAAATGAAGACCAACTCGAGCACCTTACCTGCGGAATCGTCTCATCGAAAACCCCCTCAAATGCGTACGTCCTCTGCTCACTTGAATTGAAACTGAAAAAAAATCATTGAAGTGAGGGAGGGAACAACACAAATGGGGGCCCTTACCATAACGTTTTACCATCAAGTACGTATGTTATCCGCTCGCTATCGCATGCCGATGGACGTATTCTTGCAATAACACGAACCGATTCAGCGCTTTCCATATCTGAAATGTGCACCAAATGTGGACCATGGGAACTTAAACCCTGTTCAAAAAAAGGGAAACATAGTGGGGAAAATACATGCGAAAGATGACCGCACGCAATTATTGAATGAGAACGGCCACCCTAACCATAGAAGTGATATTTTGAATTATCGATTGAAAGAGGTCTCGACAGTACGCAGGGGCGGTACTACTGGCGGTACCGTACTCAACCAACCCCTTCTTTTCTTTCGGCAAGCGACAGGAGCGACTATATCATATCGTTCGTATCAACCCTATTCCAGAAATTATTGTCTCTTACTCACTCCAAAAATGAGCACAGAATGGGCTGGAGGGGCTGGTGCGGGTTATATAATTGCGGTCATCACTGCGGAGGGACTTTTTTTACCTGGTACATATGTGGAGGGAGTCGCATTTCATCTTGGATGCTTTTTGAGATTAATGGTTTTCCCCGAATTGAGCACTCGGTATTCCCTTTCTCTGCGCTCGACGGCAATTTTTGGGGGGATTGTAAACTTCAGTGAGATTGTGGGTGATTGTGAAGCTGTTGACTTGTTCTATTCAGAGAGCAACTTTAACAAATTGACGACAGCGTGAATCGCATGCAATGCGCACTTTGTAGGCCGCGTGGGACCGCGTGCATATATACGATTCACGATCAACAAATCCATATCTTTCACCAGTGCATGGTTTTTTGTTTACTTTCCCATATTCATACTATAGTTCAACCCTCAGTGTACTCGCACAACTCGTGGTCCATGAAATAGTTTAGAACTCACTAGTTTAGCAAAGACTTCCTGGGATAGTATACCCTTCGCTTCGATTGATTTGTCTTCAATCATTTATTCACAAATAGGAACAAATACAGCAAATACAACCACATGAAAAATGTAATGAGGGTTTACTTTCTTATAGAAGGCACGACATGTGTTTCTTGTGGAAACATTGGACCCAGAAAAATCTTTGGCAGCGAGTGATGGCTTGCCTAGTTTTCTTCATAGCTATTGCACGTCCCTGCTCTTTCGAAATTGTGGGGTAGCATCCGGACATCGTCTTATAGTTCTTGGGACCTCGTACTTCTTCTAGCTCGTGTCTTGTAGGAAGGGGCCGAGCTTGAACATTCTCATGCATACTGTTCAGCAACGACTCGCCCAAGTCCATTTTGAAGTCATTCAGTCGCACTTTCCCCATTACATCCTTGTACAGGGGGCCAAAAAAGTCACTTCGACCAAGTCACATATCAGCAAAGTTTTCGCAGCCCAGACAGAGGACGTGGATACGAGTACCAGGGCGGAAGATACCCAAGAAGTTCCTCGATGAGCAGGAGTTGGCTCTCGCTCATCACCTTCATATACATCAAAATATGAAGTCATCTCCAATCGCAACCTGACTGGAGAGGACCTTCGGAATTCATGTCACCTCCAAACAGCTGCGAAACTTTTAGTATGGAGTCACCCATGTATAGCTACCTA